AAGATTATTTTGCTGACCCCATTGGCAGATTATTTAACTTGTTTTAAGGAAAACTCACTTAATTTTGGCATATTATTTCTGAAAACAAGACAATATGTTTTGCTTGCCTAGAAAATGCTTCTTGATATAAGAATTTTATTTATTTGGACTCAAAACAAGACCTAATTAAGAAAAGCAGTGTACAACTTCTTAAATCAAGAAGCATTTTCAAGACTAGTAAAAACTTTGGGTTGTTTTCAGAAATATTGAGTCAAAATGAAGTGAGTTTTTCTTTAAACAAGTCAAATAATCAGCCAATGGGATCAGCAAAAATATCTTGTTTTCACCTTGAAATAAGATTACCGTATTGGCAGATTATTTGGCTTGTTTTATGGAAAAACTCACTTAATTTTGACTCATTATTTCCGAAAACAGCACAATATTTTTCACTTATCTAGGAAACGCTTCATGATTTAAGAGCATTTAGATATTAAGACTAGAAACAGGACAAAAACTCAAAGAAAAGCATTTTTTGTTTCTTTCTTCTTTTGAACACAAAAGAAGATATTTTGAAGAATGTTGGAAACTGCTACCCATTATTTTGATACAATGGATGTCTATAGATAACCATTTCCATCAACCTACAATAAAACAGATAGTTGAACTAGAAACAGGACAAAAACTTGAAGAAAAGCATTTCTGCAGTGCTCATCCGCAATGTTTCTTCTGTTGAACACAAAAGAAGATATTTTGAAGAATGTTGGAAACTGCTACCTTTGATACTGTGGATGTCAATGAATAAGCGTTTCCAACAACCTACAATAAAATAAAATAATCTATTTTTTTTTACGACAGGAAAACAACAACTAATAAAAGCTTTAGCATACGTAAACAGTCATTACTTGTACATTTTAAGTGAACTGTCCCTTTAAGAGAAGTAAACAGGTACATTTTGCATCCAAGAAACATTCCCGAGAGAAAAAGAGCATTATATGCGTGATGCAGCACGTGAAGTGTTTTACCAGCAGAGCAGAAGGTGCTGACGGTCAGATGTTGGTGAGGACGTCGCTGGTGGTCAGGCTGACCGACAGCAAGCCCGGGAGATCATTGTTTTTGCGGCTGCCCTTATCCTGCAGGCGGAGGGTGTGAAGCTGCTGCAGGTCAGACAGGTCGCCGTTTAGAGTCACCTGACCCATAAACGAGTCGCTCAGGAGGTTCTTGTTGTAGATCTGACGGACACAGCGGAAATATAAACTTAAAGTCTGTGTGAACTGAAAGAGACTAATTTCACTATGCTGATGTACTTGTAACTGAAACAGAATATTGAGTAGGGGGCCGGGCTTTCTTTTTGCATATCATTTTCTCATAGCAAACTAACAGTAAGAGAGGCGTGGTTAAAAACAGTGTGGCTGAAGTATCAAGGTGACGTCATCAGAGAAGGACCGCCACTCCAAATGCACAAGCTAATGCTCAGATTTGATTGAAGTGGATTAAACTGCATAGATTAATTGTGTGCTAGCAAAAAAAAATTAAATTTTGATTTCATACTGACTCTAAAGTGCCCTACTGTGACGTTTTAAAAGTTTCCTATGTTGTTTCAGAGATCTTCTACTGTTGGTTTACATCCATTCAATGATATAAGAAACTATTTATTGACTAATAATATTATATGCGGCATCAGCTCATCTTTTCTCACCGTGTCTGAAATGCTTGGTTCAAGGATTTTGTTATTCTAAACCCCGCCTTTCCAAGAACCTATTCTTTTCTGATTGGTCAGATCTGTACAAGTCAGTTGTGATTAGTCAAAACCTAACAGCCTATTTTGCTCTAACTGGTTAGATCTTGACAACATGGCTGTGATTTGTCAATACCCAAGAGCCAACTGTGCACTGATTGGTCAGATAGGGAGAAGTAAGTTGTGATTGGTCAAAACTTGAGAGCCCACTCTGATCTAAATGGACAGATTTGAAGCAGTTGGTTGTGATTGGTCAAAACTTGTGAGCCTACTCTGCCTGAAATGTTAAGATCTGGGGCTGTTTGCTGTGATTGTTCAAAATGTAAGAGTTCATTCTGTCTAATTGGTCAAATATAGACAAGTCGGTTGCGAGTCGTCAAAGCCTACTCTGCTTTAATTGGTCAGATAAGGAGTAGCAAGTTGTGATTGGTCAAAACCTGAGAGCCTACTTTGTTCTTTTTCATCAGATCTGGAGTTGTAAGTTGTGATTGGTTAAACCTGAGAGCCTATTCTGCTCTAATTGGTCAGATCTAGACAATTTGATTGTGATTTGTCAAAACCTGAGAGCCTACTCTTCTTTGATTGGTCCAATAGGGAGAAGTAAGTTGTGATTGGTCAAAACCTGACAGCCTATTTTGCTCTAACTGCTTAGATCTTGACAACATGGCTGTGATTTGTCAATACCCAAGAGCCAACTGTGCACTGATTGATCAGATAGGGAGAAGTAAGTTGTGATTGGTCAAAACTTGAGAGCCCACTCTGATCTAAATGGACAGATTTGAAGCAGTTGGTTGTGATTGGTCAAAACTTGAAAGCCCACTCTGATCTAAATGGACAGATTTGAAGCAGTTGGTTGTGATTGGTCAAAACTTGTGAGCCTACTCTGCCTGAAATGTTAAGATCTGGGGCTGTTTGCTGTGATTGTTCAAAATGTAAGAGTTCATTCTGTCTAATTGGTCAAATATAGACAATTCGGTTGCGAGTCGTCAAAGCCTACTCTGCTTTAATTGGTCAGATAAGGAGTAGCAAGTTGTGATTGGTCAAAACCTGAGAGCCTACTTTGTTGTTATTCATCAGATCTGGAGTTGTAAGTTGTGATTGGTTAAACCTGAGAGCCTATTCTGCTCTAATTGGTCCGATAGGGAGAAGTTGTGATTGGTCAAAACCTGAGAGCCTACTGTTCTCTGATTGGTCCGATAGGGAGAAGTAAGTTGTGATTAGTTAAAACCTGAGAGCCTACTCTTCTCTGATTGGTCCAATAGGGAGAAGTAAGTTGTGATTGGTCAAAACCTGAGAGCCTACTCTTCTCTGATTGGTCCAATAGGGAGAAGTAAGTTGTGATTGGTCAAAACTTGGGGGCCTATTCTGTTCTAAATGGTCAGATCTGAAGCAGTTAGTTTTGATTGGTTGAAACATGTGAGCCTCTGCCTGGAATGCTAAGATCTGGGGCAGTTTGTTGTGATTGCTCAAAACATAAGAGCCTATTCTGCTCTAATTGGTCAGATCTAGACAAGTCTATTGTGATTTGTCAAAACCTGAGAGCCTACTCTGCTCTGATCGGTCATATATGGAGAAGTAAGTAGTGATTGCTCGAAATCTGAGAGCTTACTCTGCTCTGACTGGTCAGATATGGAGTAGTAAGTTGTGATTAGTCAAACCTGAGTGCTTACTCTGCCCTAAATGGTCAGAGTTGAGACAATTTGATGTGATTGCTCAAAACATAAGAGCCTATTCTGCTCTAATTAGACAGATATAGACAAGTCGGTTGTGATTGGTCAATACCTGAGAGCCTACTCTGTTCTGATTGGTCAGATATATAGCAGTAAGTTGTGATCGGTCAAACCTGAGTGCTTACTCTGCCCTAAATGGTCAGATCTAGAGCAGTTTGTTGTGATTGCTCAAAACATAAGAGCCTATTCTGCTCTAATTGGACAGATCTACACAAGTTGATTTGTCAAAACCTGAGAGAATACTCCGCTCTGAGTGGTCAGATCTAAAGCAGTTAGTTGTTATTGGTCGAAACCTAAGAGCTTACTCTGATTGGTTAGATCTGGAGCATTCAGTTGGGATTGGTCAAATCTAAATGTGACTACCATATTTGGATCTCAGCCTCCAAAGAAGTGACACTGACCAAAAATAAAACCTTGAATAAACAAGTCAATGAATCACTCATTCATCAATTTTTTCCTATTGTTGAAAATAAATATGAGTTTATTAAACCCCCCAAACAATAACCCAAATTTTGTTTACAGCTCAAATTAAATGACCAACTCATTTTTCCACCAAGAATAAATGTGAATGCATATGCAAATTGACGTTCGCAGTCCACATGCCAAACAGTAATACAGTAGTTTGAGAAAGCAGACAATTAACAGGAGAGAACAATGCCTGATTAGATTCCTTCAAACAGTAATGATTAATAATAGAGCATCACCTGAATGCGAATGGGCTGTTTGGGCTTCTTCCTGTAGAAAACAGCCTTGACGTCGAAGTCTGGACTCTGTGTGTCTTTGTGCACCGGAGAGCAAACCTTCTCTCCTTCACAGCTGATGATGATGTACGGGTCAGACGCTGAAACACACACTCAAACACATCAATGCATGCCACTCATTTTTCATTTAATACAAAAGAAAAAAGATGAAAAATAAATACAATTTCAAATGGTCAACAGTTTAGTCTTGTACGCAAACAAAAATATTCAGTTTCCAGCATTGACTGATCTGCAGTTTACTTCATTTGTTAATTACAAACCAAAAACCAGCAGTTTGCTTCTAATTTAGAGGATTCACACATGAAGAAGTACATTTATACTGTTAACAAACACTACACTACCTGTGCAAAGTCTTGTCACCTATCCAAGTTTTAGGAACAACAAATAATAACTTGACTTCTAGTTGATCATTTGGTATCAGAAGTGGCTTATATGACAGACAAAGGCCTCTAGATTAGGCTTATTTTACCAAAATAAAATATGATCATGCTCATTGTTAATTATTTCTTTTGGACGGTAAGTTCTGACTTTGCTTAGACAAAAGTTTTGTCACTGAACAGAAATAATGTCCAGTATAGAATATAAAGTCATGAATGAATATTGTGTGTGGCTCCATCATGAGCTTGGAGGACTGCATCCATACATCTCTGACATGACTCAAATCACTGATTAATAAAGTCATCTGAAATGGCGAAGAAATCGTTCTTGCAGGACTCCCAGAGTTCATCAAGACTCTTTGGATTCATCTTTAATGCCTATTCCATCATCTTAGCCCAGACATGCTCAATAATGTTTAAGTCTGGTGACTGGGCTGGCCAGTCCTGGAGCAGCTTGACCATCTTTGCTTTCAGGAGCTTTGATGTGGAGGCTGAAGTATGAGAAGGAGCGCTATCCTGCTGGAGAATTGTCCCTCTCCTGTGGTTTGTAATGTAATGGGCAGCACAAATGTCTTGATACCTCAGGCTGTTGATGTTGCCGTCCCAGCTGCAGATCTCTCGCACACCCCCATACTGAATGTAACCCCAAATCTATCCATCTATCTTGGTCAAAGTCAAAACATTTATCTGTAATGAATTCTATGTCGGATCAAAATATTTAAGTTTAAAGATAGTTTTTGTTAGTTTATGTCTCAGTATTTATTTATGTGTGTGACATAATTAAAGTCATCAATTAGATTAACAGCCACATCATGTAATTAATTAAATAAAAAAAACGTATAGATCAACAGCCCTGATTAGACCGTGATGTTTCTTACATCCATCTCCATCCAGAGCCTTGAGTCCATCTGCTCTGATAACATGAACCTGGGTCACCAGTTTAGGATACCCACAACAACTGGTCCAGCACGTCTGCGGTGGCTCGTCTACTGTCAGCTCTCTGAACAGACACACAAGCATACACACAGACGTGTTTAAATTTACGGTTATGCTTTTCAGAGTATCAAAACATAACAATAATAACTAGATAGTAAAGTTTGAGGACAAACTTTATGGTGGCTTGAGGATGCCTGTTGGAAGTAGTTTATTTAGTTTGAAAAAGTAATAAGTTGGCTAAAAGAATGTTTAAGATCCCTGCAGTCAACAATACAACCACTTTAAAGACTGAAACAAGCCAGTAAAAAGATTTAAAGTTGATTACTGTGTCTGAGGTTGGCAATAGCGTGGTACTGGCATGAGTTAACATGATTCTAGCATGAATTAGTAAGATTCTAAGAAATTAGCATGTTACTAGCATGATTTAGCATGCTGTTAGCATATTTATAGGATAAAATAGCTTGTTGCTAGCATGTTTCTAGCATGAATTAGCAAGTTGTTAGCATGATTTTAGCACAAATTAGCATGTTGTTAACATGATTCTAGCATGAATTAGTATGATTCTAAGACATTAGCATGTTATTAGCATGATTTAACATGCTGTTAGCATATTTATAGGATAAAATAGCTTGTTGCTAGCATGTTTCTAGCATGAATTAGCATGTTGTTAGCATGATTCTAGCATGAATTAGCATGTTGTTAGCATGATTCCAATATGAATTAGCATGTTGTTATCATGTTTCTAGCATGAATTAGTATGTTGTAAGCATGATTCCAACATGAACTAGTATGATGTTAGCACGATTCTAGCACAAATTAGCATGTTGTTAACATAATTCTAGAATGAATTAGCATGTAACTAGCCTGATTCTAGCATGAATTAGCATGTCACTAGCAAGATTCGCATGTCAGTAGGATGTTAGAATTTTTTGTATGTGTTAGAATAGCTAGTCACAGTCTATGGGACAGTTTCTAGGGTGCTGGAATTGGTTGCTAGGGAGTGGCTAGTAAGTTTAAAGGTCATCAGTAATTGGCTGCTTGCTAGACTGAGTTGAATGAGGCCAGACTCTAGTCTGTAGGACAGTCTGATACAGAGTTATGAGCTCACAACGTTTGGGCCAATATTAAGTGAATGGGACTTTTGGAAATTTTCTGGGTCATTTTTCAGAAAACTGAAAGTCGGATCAGTTAGAAAAGATATAGCAACCCGAGTCAGATCAGTTTGAAGGTTTGACAAAAGTTTGAAGGATATAGCTTGAAAGGCTTAAGAGGAGATACACTTTAAAATTAGTCTCAGAAGACGAAAGAAGAAGAACTTTATGAAGAATATCAGAATGGTGTCTTTCTCAAGCCACCATAATAAAACCTATGACTGCTAACATTACTAAATCACTGATGGTCCCACAAAATATTTTACTCACAAACGTACTTTTAATTTTTAGGTAATTTAACAATAGGTATTTATAATTTACTTTTCTTGAATACTGTGAAATAATGCAACGGTTCTGTATAAATCAATTCAGGGAAGCAGAGTAATTGCATCTTTTGTTTATAAATACAAATATATTTTGCTGAATAATTCTAGTTTTCAACTAAAGAAGCTTATATGTACCAAGACTACCGTGAATTATTGAGTGAAATCAGAAATTAGTCAGCGACAACATATTAAAACTTTAATTTGAAAATTTTGATATACAGTTGAAGTCAGATTTATTAGTCCCACTGTTTATTTTTTCCCCCAATTTCTGTTTAACGGTGGGAAGATTTCAACACATTTTTAATCATAATAGTTTTAATAACTCATTTCTAATAACTGATTTATTTTCTCTTTGTCATGATGACAGTAAATAATATTTGACTAGATATTTTTCAAGACACTTCTATACAGCTTAAAGTGACATTTAAAGGCTTAACTAGGTTAATCAGGTTAACTAGGCAGGTTAGGGTAATCAGGCAAGTTATTGTATAACGATGGTTTGTTCTGTAGACTATTGGAAACAAATATAGCTTAAAAGGTTAATAATTTTGATGTTAAAAATGGTTTTTAAAAATTTAAAACTGCTTTTATTCTAGCCAAAATAAAACAACTGGACATTCTTCAGAAGAAAAAATATTATCAGACATACTGTGAAAATTTCCTTGCTCTGTTAAACATCATTTGGGAAATATTTAAAAAAGAAAAAAAAATCAACTGTATATGACAACATTTTTGCACAGTAATTCTTATTATTAATTAAAGAAAGTTTTGTTTGTTATTAAAATGCATAAGTATGTGTCTTTTGGCCATCTTCGATTAAAAATTTAAAATAATCTATATTGGGTTTAAAGTAGCATTGAGTCAAGTAATTAAATGACTTTTCAGACATAGTAATTAGAAAAGTCAATTAAATATAACTTCAATGATGTAATTATTACTACAGATTTCGATTTTTTATCTCTTGTTTTTTAGTCAAAATATCTAGAAATTCTTAAATCAAGAAGCATTTTCTAGACGAGATAAAAATATAGGCTTGTTTTCAGAAATGATGTCAAAAGTGAGTCAGTTTTTCCTTAAGGTAAGCAAAATAATCTGCCAACGGTGTTAGTAAAATAATCTTACTTCAAAGAGAAAACAAGATTATTCTTCTTATCCCACTGGCAGATCATTTTGCTTGCTTTTAAGAAAAAACTCAATCTTGACATCATTTCTGAAAACAAGACTATATATTTAATAGTCTATAAAATTCGTCTTGATTTTAGAACTTTTAGATATTTGGATAAAAGCTTGAAGTATGAAACTGCAGTGTAAACAGACACTGGTCTCTCTAATAATGGGCTTTACTTGCAGTCTGAAGGCACATCAGTGAAGATGCGCAGCAGAAAGTCGCCCGGCATGCCCGGGTCAAAGGTGGATGGCACGATGACATAGCGGCCTTCCTTTAGGTCCTTGCGCAGAAACACACTCCGGGAGTTGATGTAGATGGAGCTGCCCACTGATTTCTGGATGGAGTGCATGCGGTATATGCGGTTCAGCTCCACCTGACAGAAAACACAACACGGTCAAACTGTGCTGAGTTTCAGAAACGGATGCCTTTGTGATAATTGAGTATTTATTTATTGCGAAAAACCACTTGAGATGTATTAACTCATTTTCAATGGGGTCCCACAATGTATTGCAATCACATACTAGTAATAAAATAAAATAAAGCATAATAACATAAAAGAAAACACAAAAAAGAAATAACAACAACAAACACAAAGATTATCAGAGATAAAAAAAACAATACAAAAGTTACAGATAGGTAAATCCCATCACAATATATGAAATATATATTATATATAAATATATACAAATATAAACAATATATAAAACTAGTACAATCAGGGCTGGACGATATGGCAAAAATTTATATCACAATATATTTCTTAATTTCAATAAAATATAACTTGCGATATCAATATAAAAAAGCCAGGAAAAAACATAATGAATGTCTGTATCCACAAATGTCTGCAAACTGAATTTGCAAAGTCTATAATAACATCCAGGCTCTAATAATTTTTTAAAAATAAAAACAGTACAAAAAAATGTATGTTCACTTTATATTTGAATTTAGCCTTTACAAACAAGATTTGTGAAAAACTAAAGTAAATAAAACTGTCAGCCATATAAATATATTACGGGTGTAACTATACACGTATTCGTATTTAACCGTTCGGTACGAGACTTTCGGTTCGGTACGCATTGCAAACGAACGATTCAGGCTAATATCTAAAAAGATAAAAGAGAACAAGTACAAAAAAGCCCGCAATGCTTGCCCCGCCTTCAGGCTCTTTTTATTGGCTCACTGCGCTAGAACAGAACGCTAATGGATTGGTTAATATCAGCTGTCAATCACTCAGTTCCGATGGCAGGGTGCCACAGCTGTGAAAATGTAAAGGTCAAAATACGAGAGAATAAAAACAACACTGAAAGATTTAGTTTTAGAAGCCAGCTAGAGTTACAACTAATGACACATCTGATTAGTGATCATGTGCTGAATGTCAATCCAGCATTAACACTTATCGAGGAGTGGATAAAAGACTTCCAGTGGTTAAAGTTCGCTGTGAAAATGACTAAAGCATTCACCGTAAAGCTGATGGGATGGAGTTTTCAGGAAACAGTGTTTGTCTCATCTACACATTTTAAACATGTCATGTTCTAACGTTATTTAATCCTTCATTTAATCGTCACGATGCTGTTAATCGTGCGACTGACACCGCGTTCACCATCGCTAAAGAGCATGCATTCACTGAGACTGAAACTAATATTGCAGCTCATGAAAAGACTGTTATTGCTATTAAGATGACATATGGAAATAATAAGTTATAATATCATCTGTGCAATATCAGACAGCACCCGTGAGAACAGCACAGTGATTATTGTTAACTCAGTTCATCTCATTCACGTCAAGCAGTGTGTGCAGGGCCGTTGAGCGCATGCAGATCTTTGTTTATTTGCTAGTTGTGATTAGAGTGTTAATAAATAATAGAATCTGTTAATATAAATCGTGTAGTAACGCTGCTCATCATTTTTGGTGGCCACTAAATTTTGTCTGGTGCGCCTACATTTTTGAAGTTATAAGCACCGGTGCTACTAAGAAAAAAGGTTAATTTTGAGCCCTGTTAGATCTTAATCGCTAGTGGAAATGTCGGATTTTAAGAAAATGCTAAATGTAATAGAGCCCCGTTACATTATTCTTTGATAAGCCCATTTCAGTCAGATAATTCCTGCTTTCAGATGCACTGAAATGGCAGGTGACCCGCAAATCAAGCAGATCTAAGCTGTCTGAGGAAAAGGTGGACACTCATCTACCTGAAAAAAAAAAAAAAAAAAAAACTTAAAAATTGATTGAAACTGAGCTCCATATAAAAACTATATTGTTCTTTTCTTTTTATTTGTTTAACTACTACAATATTACATTTATTTTTTATAGGAAGCTTTTTGGTTTTGAGTATATATAACCCCGCCGGTCCTACGCCACCCAATCCGTTCCAAGCTGGTATCGAACCGGCGACCTTCCACATGGGAGTCGGGTGCTCTACCAAGGAGGCTAAAGACCATGACCTCTAGCGTCTGTAGCTAGAGCACCTTAAGAGGTCAGAGGAGTGAGGTTTACCTGCACAGCAGTTACTAGCTGGCCTCCGTTACATATAAAGAAGGATTTGTTTTATTTGCTGTTAGGTAGAAACCCCGGTAGTATAGCTCTATCACTGATTAAAGTAAAAGAAAATGAGCGCACGGGCCCTTGGGCCTGTCCCCGTAAGGCCTATTGGTTAATCCGGCCCTGCCTCCACCTTGTTTTGATCAAGTGAACCTGTGATAAAGCACTGTGGATATAACAGACCAGATTAGTGATGGGAAGTTCAGATCATTTTACTGACTCGGATCTTTGAGTCTCGTTCATCGAGATGAACAAATCTTTTTTCCAAGTCATTGCGTTCATTTGGTTCAATTTGCCAAAATATTATTAAAATGTTACGAATTGCTCCCAAACACATCTACAACAAACCCAAAAGGTTGATCACACAACAAATAGGTCATGAATAGAATACTACAAGAAAGAGAAAATAATACTTCAATGTTTACCTGCTCTTTTGTCTATGAAGGCATTAATTGTTGTCTCTTTGCTCAGCTCACCTCTTCATGTCGTCTAATGTCAGTGGTTCGTTCACGTTACACTGACAGTCACATATATTCTTAACCAATGTACACAGTCTGAGCCGATAGGAGCCATGATAATTAGTTCACCTTTCAAGTCTTGAGTTGTTCGTTATTTACGTGACAGAAAGACTCAAACCTGAGTGCTCGAGAGATGAACGGATCAAATCTTTTTCCGGCTCTAAACGTATATGATTGGCTTCTGCCTTTCCGCGATGAACGACTTGAAATGTGATGAAGACTTGAAATGAACGATACCACCTGCACAAATGTGCGCACGCGCGGATGAACGAATCACTCCCTGAGAGGACTCGTAGTTCCCGAGTCATATTGAAGATTTGTTTAAAATGAACGAATCGTTCATGAACGACCCATCACTAGACCAGACTCACTCTTTGTATGTCGAAGCCGATGGCCATGTTTTCTCCTTTAGCTCGAGCTCTCTTATCCTGCTGCTGTAAGCAGATCAAAACCTCGTCCTCAGCCTTCGTCACGTCAAACACGTACTGGAAAACACAAAAATAAGATGCGCATTGGTGGATCTGATCACAAGTGATCGACACAAAGTACAGGTGTAAATGGAGTATGACATATTTCATGCTTAGTCCATTTTGAGCACATACAGATGTAGAAATGCATGCAATCAGACTGCTAATTACAGTTTAGACACTTTTACTGTGTTCAAACAGACAGAAAAGGCAGACACTTGAATTGGGAAAAAATAATAAATAAAACAAGCCATAAACACACTCTTCAGTATCAGTACACTGTTGAATCGTCATCATGGTCATCATCACCTGTGGGTTCTGCAGGAATGTGGTCTTGTGGTTGATGCAGCCTCCGCTCCGGTTCCTCAGCGGGTCATCATGGCGGCTCCAGCAGCCCCGCATCACTTCCTCCTCCCAGGTCTTATGGATGCTCAGGTATGACGTGTTGATCAGACGACACAGAATCAAGTCTGTGAAATGCTTGCAGAAGTCATCGAAATCCATCCTGACAAAGACCGAAATTAATAAAGCATAAGTAATCAATGACAGGACTGAGCGTTTGATGGAGACTTCCATTATGCGTTTAGGGGTTTTCAAGAAAAAAGGCCCGCTTTTAAAATCTTAAATATACTTTTGGTTGGGCAGCACAGTGGCTCTGTCGTTAGCACTGCAAGAAGGTCGCTGATTCGACTCCTTGCTGGGTCAGTTGGCATTTCTGTGTGGAGTTTTGCTTGTTCTTCCGGTTTCCCCCACAGACTAAACACATGCGCTATAGGGGGGATTGGATAAGCTAAATTGACTGTAGTGTATGAGTTTGTGTGTAAATGAGCGTGTATGGGTGTTTCTCAGTACAACAGAATAATTGGCGGTTCATTCTGCTGTGGCGACCTCTGAAATAGAGACTAAGCTGAAGGAAAATTGATGAAGGAAATTCATAATTCAGGTTTAAAATTAATTTAAACTAAGCAAAGCATCCATGACATACTGTTGTTTACAACAGATAGTTGCAATGACAGCAATTTTAATACATTTTCTATTATTTATTATTATATTATTATTATTATTATATTTGTTTATTATATTACTATTACAATCATTATTATTATTATTATTATATTTAATATAGCTAATTTATTCATTTATTTATTTATTTATTTTTATAATTACTTTATTAGTATACTTTATAATTAGTATTAAAATGTTATAAAAATTATTACATTTTCTACTTAACCCTAAATACAGACTTGACTTATTGCCTTTTTTGGTTTGGAAATTGGTTTCATGTGTATGTATTTATGCGTGTATGTGTGTAAATATAATAAATTATTTCATTGTATTATTTTTATTTGTTTTAGTATTTCCTTGTCATTACCTTTCAGTTTTTCCTCTTTATTGACACTATTGTTGTTAATGCTGGCACTATTATTAATACTATTATTTCACAACCTATTTATTGGTTATTACATGTATATCTGTGCACTTTGCTATATGCTGTTTGCCTACGGCATGTTTTTCTGTGTTCGAAAAATACAAAATAAAAATAAAAAATTTGATGGAAAAAGATTACATTTTCAATGAACAGATTATTAATGTTAGATTTTTTTTAATTATCAAAGAAAGATTGAACCTATAATAATAATAATATTAATAATTATAAGCAATATTATAAATTAATATTATTTTATTTATTTTATACATTAATTTGTTATAGACAATTAACAAATTAACAATATAGTTTAATTAATAATACATTGTTAATAAGAATAATGATGACAACGATAATAATAATAAGACAATAAAAAGACAAAAATAATAGGTTTTATGAAAGATTAATAACTATTTTCTTTTGTACTAGAAAAAATATGTAACTGTTATATTAATATATAACTTATTATTCATTTATTTATTTTCTTTTCGGCCTAGTCCCTTTATTAATCTGGGGTCGCCACAGCGGAATGAACCGCCAACTTATCCAGCATATGTTTTATGCAGCCCATCTCTGGGAAACATCCATACACACTCATAGACTACGGCCAATTTAGCTATATCCAACTCACCTGTACTGCATGTCTTTGGATGTGGGGGAAACTGGAGCATCCGGAGGAAACCCACGCAGGGAGAACATGCAAACTACACACAGAAACACCAACTGACCCAGTCGAGACTCGAACCAGCGACCTTCTTGCTGTGATAACTTATTATAATATACATATTATATTGAATTAATAAGATATATATTGAATGATATTTTTCTGCTCCTGTTAAGACTATGCATGCCAGATAAACACATTTACTAACATAAGACGCATGCATTGACAGGACAGAAGAACTAATAGAAGTGCTTTAACTAAAATGATAGCATCACATTCCTGCAATTAAACCATTTATAATCCCCTACAGACAAGCTAAAACATAACAGCTTTCCACTTTCTGCGTAATCAACAGGATGTCAGAGAGAATCTCTTTGTCTGTGCAGATTTGATTATGATTTAAATGCATAAAGTGTTGATAGAGAGTTGAATCTGACCAGAACTCTCCGTCGTCCTCCACGGTCACACCCAAACGCTCCCGCTCGCCTTTACTGACCCGCTTCCACTCCTCTGAGCTGCACACACACACACACACGACACACAGACACACATAATAATAAAAATAATGGGCCAGCAAAGAATGAACAAAACATTTAGTGCATTTTTATGATGCTAAAAATGTTTTCCCTCCAGCAGGAGGCAGTGTAATCACACTAACACATTTAAACATTTACAACTGAACTCACAACATTTGCGGTTTGAAACAAAGTGCCTCTGTGTCAAAACTTATGGTCAAAACACACTCATCATTTCCTGTTTGCGTTGTTCCTCATGGGTGAGTCATGCATTGTGGACAATAACTTCTACACTTCAATCCTTTTAGCAGTTTCTGATCTACATCGTTCTCCACGCTAGTTTATCACATCCACTGGAAATGTTAGTAGTTATAAGATGAAGGTGGTCTACCGGCAGTGAATACATATAAATAAAATTAGCCAAAGCCAAAATGATTCTGATATAAGATATAGGAGTACTAACAATACTAATAATACTATTAATAATAACAGTAATAATAAAAACAACAAAAATATTAATTATCATTATAATAATAATAACGACAACAACAATAATAATAATAATAATAATAACAAAAATATTAAGAACAATATTAACAATAATAATAACAACAACAATAATAATAATTACAACAACAACAATAATAATAATAATAATAATAACAATAATAACAAAAAATATATTAATTACCATTATAATAATAATAACAACAATAATAATAATAATAATAACAACAATAATAACAACAATATTAAGAACAATATTAACAATAATAATAATAATAACAATAATAATAATAATAACAACAACAATAATTACAACAACAATAATAATAATAATTACAGTAATAACAACAATAATATTAATTATCATAATAATATTAATAATAACAATAATAATATACACATATTATTAATAATTAAACATACATACACACATACATGCAAATTATTTCAGATAATATATGTCTCACACGTTTATGTAAACTATGTTATATTTCAGATAACTAAAATTATTTTCGTTTTATGGATTTATTTTAAAATATTATATATATATATATATATATATATATATATATATATATATATATATATATATATATATATATATATATATATAAAATATATAATATATATATAATGATTATAACAACAACAAAATAAACACACACACACACACACACACACACACACATACATATATATATATGATCCAAATAAAACAAAATAAAGATTAAATAAGAAATAATTTCTAAAAAAATATGCAAAAGCTCAAACATTATTTACTACGAGCATTTAATTATTATTTTAGTATATTCATATTTTGAATTTTTTGTTTATGCTTTCCTACTTTTAATACTTCAGTTTTTTGTTAAGCCAATATTTTTTACTTGCACACCTTATACGAGCTTTTCCCCAAATTTTATTTAAACAAATGTGAACAGTTTGACTTTTAGGTACAGGTATTCAGCATTTGTGTGCATTGTAGCCTTAATTGTGTTTTTTTAAGGCTAAAACTTGTCAAAATACACTCCTGTTTGCGTGTTTTACCATGCTTAAGTCATTACGAACAAAAACTTCGACACTTCAATCCTTTAAAGCAACGTCTGATCTACACTGTTCTCCTCGCCTCGTTAATCACATCCGCTGGAAATGTTAGCATTAAATGAAGGTCATCTTCCAGCTGGGAAGTGTGTTTACATGATGATCTGAAGAGCTTCTGGTGCTTTAAATCAAATTATTTACATCAGGGAATGCTGGGAAAAATTCCAGTTCCGACTTGAGCCTTGTTTCCTGTCAATAACGCACTGAAAACTGATGTAGTACTGCATATTTCAGCTCTGCAGGTTGGCATTTGCAGGTGTGTGTGTTTGTGTGTGTGTGTGTGTGTGTGTGTGTTTGTTAGTAGTGACCTGTCGCTCCAGGCCCCGTTCCACTCTCTCTGGCCCCATGGATTCCTCATGCGAATCATGGATAGTTTTTCTGACTTGAAGAAGGCCAGTAGGCCGGAGCCCAAACGCACTTTGCGCACATCTGTGACGGCGTATGCGTGACCTTTGACCAGACCACAGTCCAGACGCGCCTCCATGTCTGCCTGAGTTGTGGCCTACAACACAAAAAACATGTATATGAATTTAATCCCAGAGTTATTTGCTGTAATTCAATTCTGCAAATATGTTTACTTATTTAAAAAATAATTAAATTATATATATATACATATACATATAAATAAATAATGTAATAATTTTTTAATAAGTAAACATATTTGCAGAATTGAATTACATATATATTATATATATGTTTACATATATATTATATAATTACATATTATATATATATATATATATATATATATATATATATATATATTAGTGCTGTCAATCAATAAAAAAAAACTAATTTCGCACTTTTTTAAAAAAAAATTAATCGCGATTAATCACATTTAAAATACTGAAAGTTGTAATTTTGCCTATTCAAATGTAAAATTCATGTAAACGCAAGACAAAAATTATTTAAATTCAAAATATAATTGTTTATTAGAATTTTTGTTTAACTTGTAACACAGATTTCTTCGTGTAAACAACAAACCCACAATAAACCATCAAGATCCTGGCTTGACAGCCATATTTATTACAGAAATTAAAACACAGGCATGTTAATGCGATATCAATTTTAAAACAATCAATGCCAATAAAGAAAACATTGATTTCCATGTTGGATTCTAAGTGGACTGCAAAAAAATGCCAAAATACAGGAATTGCAGATATGGAAAATGAAAAATTATAATAATAAACTATAGAATACAAACTGTTGCACTCATTGTAAAGTTTTATTGCTGTGAGTTGAGAACATTAGTTATAGAGTAGAAACAATTTTGCTTAATCCTCCTTTACATTCATCCAGTTGCTATAAGACTAGGAGTATCCCGCAAGTGCACAGAGACTCCCAAATGCCCGCAAATGAATGATAATCTCTCGTAAACCGGTCGTTAAATACATTGCACACCCCTCTCCCCTGCATCCCTCCTAGCTCTTCAGGTAGCTTATGTCGCGCGCAACTCAACCCCACCGTCCTTCAGGTACGTCTCGCGCGTACACGCCCCTACTCAGATACGTCGCTCACTCCACCCCTGACACCCCTCAACGAGCCTGACACAGACACACACACACAACGCGCTGGAGCGACTCGCGTTCATCAAATTTGCTTAAACTAAGCGTCCTAAAATATTACTGTATTTCACAAGGATTCTGACACAACAACGCGAAGCATACGCTTTCGTTGCGTTTAATGAGGAAACACGCTAAACTTGGAGGGCTCATGCTGAAAGGCAGAGTAATGCCCTGTCTTTGACAGCTCGCGACTTCACCAGAGACTTTCTAAGTACATTCACATAAGACACCAATACTCTGATATTAATATGATTCAGATTAGACTCTTATTAAAAGTCTACCGTGTAGCCTAAGCAGCGATTTTATTACCTTAAAGGAACACAGAGTCACGAAATGCGGAGGATTTTCTTTCTGTTCGCCATGCGGTATCAACTTACAACAGAAGTCGAAAGTTTTGTTTTATACTGGAACTTGCCTTCAAAAAGTGCTTCCTCGGTCTTATACACATTTCTTGCATGTTGAACACGTCCACCACAACAGGAAGTAAAAAAAACCTGCAACTGCGTTAATTGCGTTATTTTTTTTTTTACGTGTTAATTATTTAAAATTAATCGCATGCGTTAACGCACTAATTTTGACAGCGCTAATATATATATATATATATATATATATATATATATATATATATATATTTATATACACACACACACATTTATTATTATTATTTCTCATTACAGTTTACACTTCCTACTCTTCCTCCCTGTCAGATGTCTGAATATGTGTCTACGTAGACACTCACCGGCCACTTTATTAGGTACACCTGTTCACGTGCTCGTTAACGCAAAATTCTAATCAGCCAATCACATGGCAGCAGCTTACTGCATTTAGGCATGTAGACATGGTCAAGACGATCTGCTGCAGTTCAAAGCGAGCATCAGAATGGGAAGGAAAGGGCCAGCTATTGGTGGAGTGGAGAGACAGTGGTTGAGAGACAGTGGTTGAGCCAATTCAGTGGATGGGGATGTTTGGGAGGCCATGATGGATAAAGGCCAATGGAGGGATTTTGGCCAGGACACCCTGTTTCATCGGGTTTAGTTTGACTTTCAATCACACAGGTTGTAATTTTTGTGCCTTAATTTTACCCACAATTCTGCAAATTTGTACACTAAAACGTCAACTCATTATATAACAAATCTTTTTCTTGCACTGAATTTCTGCTCATTACATTTATTCATTCATTCATTCATTCATTCTCCTTCGACTTAGTCTCTTATTTATCAGGGGTCGCCACTGCAGAATGAACCGCCAATTATTCCAGCACATGTTTTACACAGCGGATGCCCTTCCGGCTGCAACCCAGTACTGGAAAACACCCACATACACTCATTCACACACACACTCATACACTGGGCAATTTAATTTACCCAATTCACCTACAGCGCGTGTGTTTGGACTCTGGAGTTTGGGGGAAACCGGAGCACGCGGAGGAAACCCACGCCAACACAGGGAGAACATGCAAACTCCACACAGAAATGCCAACTGACCCAGCCGGGACTCAAACCATGGACTTTCTTGCTGTAAGGTGACAATGCTAACCACTCAGACACCGCACCGCCCCCTCCTCATTATAGTCTAGTATTATAATACTGCTCTAGAACAGACACACTCACTCTGATGGAGCAGCTGATGAGGCCTCCTCTGTTGTGGACCTTCAGGACTCGATCAAACAGCTGATGCCGAGCCTCTTCATCCTGAGCAAACTTTCCTTCCAGCAGATCCATGGGCTCAGAAACACCTCCGGTGAAGTCCACCAGAGCATCTGCCGTGTTTCCACCATCCAGAGCCTCATAACAGCCACACATCCTGAACAAAACAGCAACAAAGATCAACAACCAGCAGGTTTCTTAAGAAAGAGCCCGAGAAGCTTCAGCAATGGGGCTGCTGAATGCTTGATTCTGATTGGCTGGTGAGCAGTCTAAAGTGTGCCATTATTTTCAGATAAACCTACAGTTAAAGTAGTTCCAACCACTATGAAAGCGCCATATTACTACGCTGAAAGATTTTAGTTATTTCACCGCCACAACAGGCAAATACTCTAATCTGATTGGTTGATGAGCATTCTAAGGTGTGCCGTTATTTTCAGATAAATGTACAGCTAAAGTAGTTCCGGCTGGCTGAGCGCATTACAGCTCCATATCACTACACCGTTTGATTCATTTCACAGCTCATGGCTGATGAGCATTCTAAGGTGTGCTGTTTTTATTTATTTAATTGAAATGATTTAATTAATTAAATAATTTGATTGTTATTTAATTGATAAAATTTTTTATTAAAAATGTACAAAAAATTATATATATATATATATATATATATATATATTTTTTTTTTTTTTTTTTTGCTTTTTTTATTTATTAAAATAAAATAAATAAATTATTTAATTTAGTTTAATATCAATAAATATTTTATTATTTATGTGTGCATTTATCTATACATTTTTATTGAAATATGAAATTGTTATTGAAGTTATTATTATGCAATTATACAATTATTATTGTAATATTATTATTATTATTATTATTATTATTATTATTATTATTATTATTATTATGCAATTATGCAGTCTTTCTTCTATTTTAAATGTTTAGCAACAAAACCTCTTTTTGGTGGAAGCAAAAATAAAGTGGCTGTATGAGTCTTTTAATGCAAATGAGCTGCTACTTCCAGGCCTCTCCTAAAAGAGGGGGAAACCTGTGCAGCGTGTGCCTCTAAAGTACATGCAGATGTCTTGTTAATTGTTGCCAGAGATTTAAAGTCACTGCTAGTTTAAACAGATGTGTTTATTTTTTTTCTGGACTTACGGTTTCTTGCACTTACTTTGCGTAGGCTTTCTCCACCAGAGCACTCCAGAACTCATTACTGTCGTTGGAGTGGCAGTATATGAGCTTCCCGTTTGCGGTTGGCAGTCGGTCATCAATGACAACGTCGACCCAATCTCCAAAACGCCAGAACCGAAAGTGAAAAATCCCAGCATAGCTCTCCGGTTTATTCTTGTCCCATTCCTGGTCCTTCCAATCCGGAATGACCTTTAAATAGATGAAAAACTGCTTTTTAATAACTGGACTAAATCTGACAACTGATGCAGAAAACAAAAGACTGTTTAGGCTAGGGGTGGCCAACCCTGTTCCTGGAGAGCCACCTTCCTGCAGATTTCAGTTGCTACCCATATCAAACACACCTGAACCAATTAATTAGGTCCTGAACCACACATAATAATTACAGGCAGGTGTGTTTGATATGGATTGCAACTGAAATCTGCAGGAAGGTGGCTCTCCAGGAACAGGGTTGGCCACCCCTGGTTTAGACGGTAAACCAGGGAGCATAATCAGTAAATGGCACCATGAAAAAGGAGCAATACATTAAAACTTCTCAACAAAAAACATTAGGCAGTCTGCAGAGAAATTGGCCTTGGGCATTAGTAAACTTTTCACCACAACAACAACAACCCAAAACACACAGCAAAAGTGCTGAGGAAATAGCTAGCAGAAAAAACGTTTTGCAGTGGCCTAGCCACAGTCCTGACATAAACTCAATTGAGAATTTGTGGTGGGAGCTAAAGACCAGGGTGATGGCAAGAGACTCTACAGCCTGAAAGAGTAAGAGCAAAATGAATGGCCAAAAATACCAGTGGAGACATGCAGAAAGCTGGCCAGCACTTATAGGAAGTATTTAAAAGCACTAATAGCCAAAAAGGCTTTTCTATTGATTATTGAAAAGGGTATGAATAATTTTGGACATGCCACGTTTTGTTCAAATGTAAATAAAAGCTGAGAAATGTATTTTTTTCCACAATGATGACTTTTATAACATCAAAATTCTCAACAACAACATCAGGAAATGTGCAGAGAAATTGGCCTTAGGCACTAGTGGACATTCAGCATAATAACGACCCAAAACACACAGCAAAAGTGTTGAAGAAATGGTTAACAGACAAAAAAAACAAACGTTTTGCAGTGGCCTAGCCAGAGTCCTGACTTTAACCCAACTGAGAATCTGTAGAGGAAGCTAATGTTTTTTTTTTTCAATTCATCTTTATTTTTATAGTGCTTTTATAAGATTATGTAGATTATGGCAAAGCAGCTTCACATAGAAGATTATAGTGATAAAGATCAGGCTGATGGTAAACTCTACAACCTAAAAGAGTAGAAGCTCATCGATAAAGATAAATGGGCAAAAATACAAGTGGAGACATGCAGAAAGCAGCTCAGCAATTATAGGATGTGTTTGATTGCTATAAATAGCCAAAACAGGATTTTCTATTGATCATTGAAAAGGGTATGAATAATTTTGGACAGGACACTTTTTGTTCAAATGTAAATAAAATCTGTGAAATTAGTTGGTTTTTTCCACAACGATGACTCTTGTCAACGTCTTATTATCTTTTGGGAGAAGCCAGTGTCATATTTGGTCAAAAACAACAACTTGCATCAGAATTATTCAACACCAGAATTTGCTTAACTGTATATATTCCAGCTAAACAAAAAGTAGTAAAACCTTCTCCAGAAGACAAATACAACAGGACATTTTGTAAAAAAAAAAAAATATATATTAGGGGTGTCAAAATTAATTGTTTCTTCGGTGCACCGCGATGCAGACGCGGACAATTCGGTATTGATTCAGTAATAACCATAACCGGTTATTATGTAGTGACGTCATTTATCTCCTATGCGCTCTGTCGCGAGGGAGGTGAGCGCCATTATTTACAACACTCAGCCAACTTGGGGCCGGCCCGTGGCATAGGCACCATAGGCAAATGCTTAGGGCGCTGTATATCCAGTGGGGCGCCAGAAATGAGCGCGCTTCAGTTGGTTTTGTTTTTGATTTTCCTGACACACATTCAGTTATAGACGGCAATAACTCAAAAAAACGCTTACCCTAAAAAGATCTAAAGTGTTTCCTACAAAAAGACAAAGCTGGTTATGTTTCACAGCTGTCTTTCTTTCTTTCGCTCGACATTACGAGCACTGCTCCGTTTAAGACCTCTCAGTCTGCGTTTACTTTAGCCGGCAGAGCTCGCGCTGAGAGGAGCTCTCTGTAAGGGACCGTCGGAAAAGTGCTTATTTTTTTCGTTTTTTTTCGTTTTTCTGCTCCGCTAAGCGCAAGCTCTCCCTGTTGCAAGGGCTTAAGTGTGTTTGTTTGTGTGTGTGTGTGTGTGTGTGTGTGTGTGTGTGTGTGTGTGTGTGTGCGCGTGTGTGTGTGTGTTTGTTTGTTTGATGCTGTCTATGTTTGTGAATGTGTTTGAATGAGAGACAGTGTGTTGCTGTGTGTCTGTGTGTTTATACAGACAGCATGTTATAGCCTCCCCCCTAAAATATAACACTATATATGGAAAGCATCGTCAATGCACCGTGATGCACCAAGATATGGAATTGAACCGAATCGATGGCATGATAATCGTAACCGAACCGAACTGTGAGACAAGTATAGGTTCACACCTCTAATATATATATATATATATATATATATATATATATATATATATATATATATGGAAATTGTGAATAAAATTACAATTTTACCTATATATATATATATATATATATATATATATATATATATATATATATATATATATATATATATATATATATATATATATATATATATATTCAAATGCACAAAACAAAGCAAAACAGAAAGTCTGGAAGTTTTCCAACAGCAGAAAGCATCTGTTGCCTAGAGCTGCAACACTGAATCTGTTTGCTTTGCTCCTCCTCCTTTTTCCAAAACTAAAGTCGAGTCTCAGAGAATCAATAAAGTCCCCATCTGAGCGAGTGTGTGTGCCCGAGGGGACGCAGTGGCGCTGCAGCGGATGGAAAAGTGAAGGCTGAGCGAGGAAAAGCTTCATTCACACACAGAGAGAATCAGCAAAACAGCATCATGGGTTCAGAAATGGAGCTGACATTCACTGAGGATCTGCAGCTGACAGAGGTCATTTACATTTATATTTACTCATTTAGCAGATGATTTTATGACTTGCAAGTGATGATTTACACTGAAAAAAGTAGTTTTTCTTTACTTGGAGTTCTTGTCTTGTTTCTGCACTGTGAAAAATATCCGTATTGTGTGTTTTCAGTTTATTTATGGTTGTGAATGGCATTATGGGATGTTGATCTCTGCTCTGTTGACTTTTATTGACATTTTTGTGCTTTAAAATATTATAATGTATAAGAAATAATAATAACATATAGAGAAATACGTGTTTAAAATAACAGAAAATGTACTGGCAGTTTATTACAAGGATTTTATAGTGTAATATACAACACCAACCCAGATAATTTAGCACTTTAAACTATTAAAAATATTCATAAAAGTCACTTCTTTGAACTTTTCAAGGTTAAAAGTTGTTGGAGGAATGATCAAGATCCCATAATGCAATTTTAAAGCAGAAATTAATTGGGGAAAATTCAAAACATGAATCAGAAATTACAGAAAATTGCTGATTTATGGATAACTTTACAGTGCGCTTTTCTAGATTAGAGATTTTGTCTCGTTTCTAGTCCAAATATTTAAGAATTGTCTTGTTTTCAGAAATAATGTGTAAATATTAAGTGATATTTTTCTTAAAACAGGCTAAATAACCAGCCAATATAATAAGCAAACTAATCTTATTTCAAAGCATATAATATATATATATATATTAGTTTGCTTGCCACATTGGCAGATCATTTTAAGATTTTAATAAAAAAAATTTTTTTTTTTATATATATTTTTTTACTTGTCAAGAAAATGTTCCTTGATTTAAGAATTTTTACAAATTTAGACTAGAAAAACTTCAAATCTTTTATATAACACTGCTATGATGCATCAAAGTCTTATTTTTAATCAAAATTTTTTTTTTTTTCAAAGTGATGCGTTTCCTGGTGCAGTCGATTTCTCGATTTCAGAATTTTTAAATATTCTGACTATAAACAAGACCAAAACTTTAATATTAGGGTAAATGGTTGCAAGCAAATTTATATGGGTTGAATTTAAACAAACATATGAAACGTAATGTTCAACTTGATTTGTTTGTTTAAATTAAGCCCAAATAAATTGTTTGCAAGCACTTACCTTAATTTCTTTTAGTAAATCCAAAGAATATTTATTTGCAGTGTAAAAAAGAAGAGCTTTAAATCATCAGAGAGTAGCAGTATATGCATGTTATGAAACATTAAATTAAGTTGAATGATTTATTAATTTATTTTTTATTAAGGTGATGTGTTTGCGGGTGCAGTTGCTCCAGCAGATAGAGTTTTTGTCTTGTTTCTAGTCAAAATTTCTAAAAGTTCTTAAATAGGGAATTTTTCTTGAAAAATAATGTGTCAAAATTAAGTCAGATTTTTCATAATGCAAGCAAAATGATGTCAATGGGTTAAGCAAAATTATATTTTGTTAAAAACTCACTTAATATTGACAAATTATTATTTTATTAAAATATTATTTTAATCATTTTAATATTATTTTAATAATATCCTTATGTTAAAAATATTATTTTAATATTACTAAATTATTCGCAGATATACTGTGAAAATCTCAAAACAAATTGTCTTGTTTTGATATTTTCACAGTATTTCAGACAATATTTTTTCTTCTGGAGAAAGTCTTATTTGGTTTATTTCGGCTAGAATAAAAGCAGTTTTCCTTTAAACCATTTTAAGGTTAATATTATTATCCCCCTTGAGCAATAGGTTTTTCGATAGTCTACAGAACAAACCATCGTTATACAATAACTTGCCTAATTACCCTAACTTTAATCTAATTGAGCTAGTTAAGCCTTTAAATGTCACTTTAAGCTGAATATTAGAATCTAGTCAAATATTATTTACTGTCATCATGGCAAAGATAAAATAAATCAGTTATTAGAAATGAGTTATTAAAACTATTAAGTATAGAAATGTGCTGAAAAAAATCTGTTAAACAGAAATTGGGGGAAAAATAAACAGGAGGGCTAATAATTCAGGAAGGCTTCAATTGTGTGTGTAATAATACATCTAAATGAAGTCTAACTATTTCTGACTTGATTTATTATCAAGGTGATGCGATTGCGTGTGCAGTCGCTCCAGCAGAAGGGTCAGAAACGGCAGGACGGGGAGCGTCTCCTACTCCCACATGAATCCGTCTACCGGCTGGACTTCAGCGATCAGGATCTGAGCTTCACCCGCTGGAACGTGAGTCTGCAGGGAACGGGACGCTTCACCGTCACCGGCATCTGCCAGCTCTGGACGCCCGACCTGACCCACCTGATGACCCGCCAGCTGCTGGAGCCCATCGGACAGTTCTGGAGGAACGCCGGAGACCCAGAGGACTCGCCCATCAAATGCCTGGAGGCGGATATTCAGGAGTTCGGGGAGCGGATCGCGGAGCTGGCCCGCGTGCGCAAAGTCATGTATTTTCTGATCGCATTCAAGGAAGGAGCGACCAAAGAAAAAATCTCCTGCTCTCTGACCTTCTGCAAAAACTGAGGCGCCTTTTTTGTCAGGTCAGATGCGTAGTCTTTGTTTAGATCTAGAGATTTGGGTCACACTTTACAATAAGGTTCATTAGTTAATGTTAATTAATGCATTTACTAAGATGAACAAACAATGAACAATACATTTACTACTGTATTTGTTAATGTTAGTCAATGTTAGTTAATGAAAATACAGTAGTTCATTGTTAGTTCAACTAATGTTAACAAGCATGGACTTGGATGTTAATAATGCATCAGTAAATGTTCAATTATGATTAATAAATGCTGTACATGTGCTGTTTATGATTAGTTCATGTTAGTAAATGCATTAACTAATGAACCTTATTGTAAAGTGTTACCGAGATTGGTTTATTGTCCTGTAGTAGGCCAGCATGTAAAGTCTTTTTAAAGCCTTGTCTGCCTGTGGGATTGGCTTTAATGGGAAAGCATCTGAATATATTTACTAGTGCTGGGCAAAGATTAAATCACATCCAAAATAAAAGTTTGTTTTGACATTATATATGTGCGTGTATTATATTTATTTATTTATTTATTTATTTATTATGTATTTGTGATACACATACAGTTGAAGTCAGAATTATTAGCCCCCTTTTGATTTTTTTTTCTCTTTTTAATATTTCCCAAATGATGTTAAACAGAGCAAGAAAATTTTCACAGTATGTCTGATAATATTGTTTCTTCTGGAGAAAGTCCTATTTGTTTTATTTCGGCTAGAATAAAAGCAGTTTTTAAATTTTTTGGGTCAATATAATTAGCCTCTTTAAGCAATTTTTTTTTTTTCGATAGTCTACAGAACAAACCATCGTTATACAATAACTTGCCTAATTACCCTAACCTGTCTAGTTAACCTAATTAACCTAGTTACGCCTTTAAATGTCACTTTAAGCTGTATAGAAGTGCCTTGAAAAATATCTAGTCAAATATTATTTACTGTCATCATGACAAAGATAAAATAAATCAGTTATTAGAAATAGGTTTCTAAAACTATTATGCTTATAAATGTGTTGAAACAATCTTCCCTCCATTAAACAGAAATTGGGGAAAAAAATAATCAGGGGTGATGATAATTCAGGGAGGCTAATAATTCTGACTTCAACTGTATATACAAGCAATATCACACGAGTACCAGTGCGTTGTGGCTGTATGTCGGCACTGGTGGGGGGCATGCGTTGGTTCAAGGCCGCAGACAGAGTGTCTTTGTGTCCCACCAATGATGATATACAGCCATATCGCACTGCTACGAGTGTGATATTGCTTTTATACAACAGTTCTTCGACGGCATATTCAGTCTGATCTCCCGAGGAAACGCAAGTATTTTACGTTTCGTGAGTTTAGTGGGTAATTCGTAAGAGTTCAGTCACGATTTTAAAAAGGAGGCGTGGCACCTAACCCCACCCCTAACCACAACCGTCATTGGGTGAAAAGCAAATCGTACTAAAAATGTACGAATTAGATCATACGAATTAGCTACTTAATCAAAAAGTTACGAATTGCTGTGAGATTGCGTTGGCATAATCGTGTGTATAACAAAATAAAATCAAACACGAAGAGTCTCAAAGCCCTTTTGTACGAGGAACTACTTTCTTCCGCCATTCATGCACATCTGTTGTTGACGTAAGAAACTGTTGCTCATTTACTAACGTCACTTTAGAGCTAGTATTTATTAATAATAATAATAATAATAATAATAATAATTCCTTACATTTATATAGCGCTTTTCTGGACACTCAAAGCGCCTTACACAATGGGGGGGGGGGGGGGATCTCCTCATCCACCACCAGTGTGCAGCAACCTGGATGACGTGAAGGCAGCCATATTGCAGCAGATCGCACACCACACACCAGCTGATTGGTGGAGAGGAAACAGAGTGATGAAGCCAATTATGATATGGGGAGGGTTAGGAGGCCATGATGAACAGAGGCCAGTGGGCAAATTTGGCCATTGGATTTTTTACGACCACAGAGAGTCGGGACCTCGCTTTAACGTCTCGTCCGAAAGACGGCGCAGTATAGAGTGCCCGTCACTATACTGGGGCATTACGACCCACAAAGACAACAGATTGAGCGCCCCCTGCTGGCCTCACTAACACCACTTCCAACAGCAACCTAGCTTTCCCATGTGGTCTCCCATCCAGGCACTGACCGGGTGCTTAGCTTCATGTGAGAGTTGCAGAGAGATAGCTGCCGCCGTTCTTGAGTGATTCTCTAGAGCAGGGGTGCTCAATCCGGTTCCTGGAGATCTACCTTCCAGTACAGTTTAGCTCCTACCCTGATCAAACCCACCTGAACCAATTAATTAGGACCTGAAATCCACTTGATAATTACAGACAGGTGTGTTTGATAAGGGTTGCAACTGAAATCTACAGGAAGGTAGATCTCCAGGAACAGGATTGGCCACCCCTGCTCTAGCGGTATTAGTGAAGTGATGACAAAACAGGTGACTTTGCTCGCATCTTGAGATTATAAGGCTGAACAGAATGAAATGCCATCAGTCTACAGAGATTTCCCAGTATTTCTCTGCTGCAATCAGGAGATCACAATAATTAACCCTGAAAAAGCCAAAGCAGCCAAATCACTACCATATTGCAAAAAATTAAGATCTATCTAATAAAATTGTTCTACATATTGCTTAGCTTTTTTTGTATGTGTGTATCACCTATACATAATACATATTTCATTGACACACACACACACACACACACACATTTAATATTTTTTATTTCGGGTGCAACTAATCAGCATTAATCCTTGCGCAGCATATCCTACGACCCAATTTCAGTGACGTCACACAAAGTGGCTTCTGGGTCCAAGCGCTCTATCAAACTGCATGTGGAGGAGACCATCATAAAATTATATATTATATAATATTTAGTGCTTCCTTGTGACAAATGTTTATATACCTAGTTTTATTTCTATAAATTACTGTTACACGAGTTCAGTCGTACGAAAACATACAATTTTAAAAAAGGAAGCATGGCACCTTTTATGTATGTGGATTTAATTTTAGCGAATGGGTTCTGTAATCATACACACAAAAAATGCTGGGTTGTAGCTCAACTAATTATTTCAATGAAAATTGAATGACACTTTTTAACCCAATGGCTGGGTTTGTCCATATTTGATCCGTTGTTGTGTTACAACCACCTACCATTTTTAGAGTGTAGTATTAATAGTGAAATCATTCGGTTTTTTATTAATGAGACATGTTCTAAAAGTGTTAAAAACTATCCTTTAGTCTGCGCCAATAGCCTAGTGGTTAAGTGTGCGGACATATAGCACCAAGGTGCTCATGGTGACCCGAGTTTGATTCCCGGCTCAAGGTCTTCTGCCTATCCTTCCCCTCTCTCTCTGCTCCCCATGTATTCCTGTTTATCTCTACTGTCCTATGTAATAAAGGTAAAAAGCAAACCTTATCTAGCTATATATATATATATATATATATATATATATATATATATATATATATATATATATATATATATATATATATATATATAATTATCCTTTAAATTGGTACTAAACATTGCTTTGATGCTTGAAAACCCCTTTTTTTTGGCTCGAATTTCCAATTAGACCCAAGAATTATACACTGTATTTACTATTCCTTTTGTTCAAGGACCGTGTAGTTTCCTCATGTTTTCATTTTTTCAATTGGACGACTGTTAACTTACACTAATATTGTTGTCTGTTGTGTGTTGTTCGTAACCTAATGCTCTTATAAAGCATAGCGGCAGTAAAATAAAGTGTTTTAGGTCAGCCACTGTGTTTCTGTAAGTGACTGTAGTGTTGTTATTGGGTCAATAGTGATGGCCTCTGAGTTTAGTATCCGGCTGACACGAGCGAATCAAAATCGGGAATCAATTAAAAAGTCCTGCCTTCAGGCGAACGGCATTAGTTCTGGGACGTCCGAAATGCTTTAAAAAGCCAATTCATTATTTCTGTTACGTCATCAAGAGCTGCTGTTTCACATCCGGTGACTTCTGAACTGAACAAACGATTCAGGGAGTCGATAAAGAATCATTTAGTTTGAACTAGTAACCGATTCACATGAACAACTTTCACAGAAATGGAGATCTCTGTGCCTTACGACACGTTAAATAAGCATTCATAAGGCTTAGTCCTTTTATTCGTCAGGGGTCGCCACAGCAGAATGAACCGCTAAATCATCCAGCATATGTTTTACAGAGCGGATACCCATTCAGTTGCAACCCAGTCCTGGGAAACACCAGTATACTCTCATTCACACACATACACTAAGGCCAATTTAGTTTATTCAGTTCCTCTATAGCGCATGTGTTTGGACTGTGGGAGAAACCGGAGCACCCAGGGGAAACCCACACCAACACGGGGAGAACATGCAAACTCCACACAGAAACGTCACCGGCCCAGCTGGGACTTGAACCAGCAACCTTCTTGCTGTGAGGCGACAGTGCTAACCACTGAGCCACTCTGTCGCCAATAAGCAATTAGTAAATGCAAAATCCTGCTGGTATTTAAATACAAATATCTGCATATGCAAATGCGTGCAAATTATTTCCCATGTGTTAATACTTGTAACTTTTTTTGTAGTATGAAATAACATAAATAAATTGTGAATCTAGCAAGATAATTAAATCCTGATCTTTTATTTTTATTATTTATTTAAAAAGTTAAAATGTCACTGGGACAACGATGAAGCATAAAAATACACTGAAAGCTAATTTTAAATAGTGAATAATAAAAAATATTGTTAATTAATTTTTTTTATTTATATTTAATTGACAAACTAAAATTAAAGTGAAATAAAAATTAATGAAAAAGTAGAATATGTGAATTAATATTTCATATTTTAATATAATATAAAAACTAAAATAAAAACTAGTTCAAAATGTTAATGCAAATTATTATTAAACACATGAATTAACATTGTAATATCTTTATATTTTTGTAATATTACTGCATGTTAAATTATATTAGTATTTCTTATTAATAAGGTTTAATATGTGGTAATATTTAGAAAATTATAAAGATAATACAATGACTATGACAAAGTGAATAGTTTAAAATTACATAAAAAGGAAAAGTTACTTTAAAAATATTAATAACAATCAAACAAACAAAGCATACAATAAAAAAGTTAAATAAAATAAAGATATATTAAATTAAATGAAATAGAACAAGGTTAAATTAAATGTAATAAAATAAACATAAATTAAGTAAAATATATGATAATTTAAATTAATTCGAATAAAGTTAATACATAAAATAAAATAAAATGAAGATAAAAAAATAAAAATATATTAAATTGCATTATAAAGAACAAAGTTAAATTAAATGTAATAAAATAAAATAGATAAATACAAAAAATTATTATATGAAATAGAACAAAGTTAAATTTAATTTAATGAAATAAAAAATAAATTTAAAATAAATTAAATTAAATAGAACAAAGTTAAATTAAATTTAAAGAAATAAAGATAAATTAAATTAAACATATTAATTCAAAATAAATAGAATAA